TTTTAAAAAATCTTCAAATTCTTAGCTTAGAACTATTACCTTCATACGTATTACTTAATGTGTATTCAACTTGCTCACTTGATATGTACTAAACTTGACAATCGCTTTTATTGTCAAGGAAAAGAAAAAACATTATAGATCACATAGAGCATTTATGACATTGCATGTGATAGATATCTTTTGCCATTAATTACGTTTTATCGTATTCGTGACACTAGGTCATATAGACATATCATAAGATATCTCGTACAATTAAGATACTTGTTCGAGTGTGAGATCGTAACACGCAATTTTTATGCATCATATATTCTTCAATTAGCTATCACAGTTACGGTTTCTTTTATGATTGTTTAAAACACTTTGATACAAAAGAATATGCAGTAACTTATCAAAATATGTAACCGGTTTCTTTAATAATGTAACAATTCACTTCTTATCTACAAAAAAAATAAATTTTACCGGAAAATATATTTAAAGGAGTCACATTAAAATGCTATGAAATCAATGAATAATTACCTATGAATAATATATACTTATGAATAACCATACTTATGAATAATTCCAATAAAATTTAATTTTAATTTTTTGCCAAATTTTGAAACAAAAAAAATATATATGGATATATTGCGATATAAATTGCTTCGACAATTGGCTTTTATCACAGGCAATCTTTCGTATTGTGAGAGAAAATTGGTCTTGACAAACGCAGACTGCGTAATAAATACATGAATATTTGAACCAACTTAATGCGTAATAATGTGACGTAAGAGGCGAAATAGCGTGATCTTGCAATGTCCCCGCGTCCTTTTAAAATCGTCTGCCAGCGTCGTGAATGCGAATTAACGCGTGCGCGTCAACGCGGACGGAAACGTGATCGAAACACGTGCGTATATGATAGACCACCCGTATGATAGCAACAGTTATCACTAGTCAGCCATGATAGCGCATAAATAAATGGTGAACGGGGGCAGATTGATAATTTATACAAACTGCAGATACCGGAGAAATTAGAAAAAAAAACAACTGACGTTATCGACGATTTATTAAGTTGCTGTAAAAAATGTTTGAGGAAGTCGATCCGATTTTTGTGCCGATTATCGCGAACTTGACTCTTCAGACGCGCGAGATTCGAAGCAAACATCTCTTTTCGCTCTCTCAGTAACTACTTACAGTAACTACTCAGTAACTACCTACTTTATTCAAGAGATATTCTTGCACACTTGTTTGCGTCAAAGCGCATTTTAAATCCTTCGAACTTTTACGACGATTGGTGATACGTCAATCAAAATAGTGCCGAACCAGAACTATCGATATAAAGTTTTATAAGAATCTTACGCCTAATTTAATTAAGAACAATGATAGTGCAATAAGACGGATGCGCAAAACGATACGGTAATAAGCGCAGCGTTTACTTAATTATGATAAGTCGATTTACGAGTCTGACCTTAACACTGATTACAACCATAAATCTTGATTTTTATGTATTGATTTATGCGTTTATTCCTCGCGACTCAAATAGAAATACATTTCCCTGAAAATTTTATACAAACTTCTTTCTCCCCACATTTTAAGCATTTCACAAAAGTGATTTTTTTTTACTGTTAAAATATAATAAGATCTTTATTCAGACAATGTAAGAAAGAGATCAGAAAATTTTCTGTAATAATGTCGATTTCACAAATATCGTTTTTTAATATTTCTGCACTTTTTAAAACTCATCAGATAATGTTTGCGTATTATCTATTGCTTATTATTTATAGAAATATAAAAAGACGCTAAATATTTCCAGCTTTGAAATGCATATTACGCGTTATTTGCATACGAGACATATATTTCCGAGAAGAAGAAAAAGTTACTTTGAAATGCAAACATTACTCTACGGTACATTGACTTTAGAGTTATTGTTACACTGCCTCAAGCAACGATTTTATTATTTTTACCTCCGAGAGATCCAGTGTCTTTCCTCTCTACGACGCGACGGGGGAATGGAAACGACGACGATGGCTCCGAGCCAAATTAGTGACGCCGGATTATGTCGCTATAATCGATATCGGTGATGCCGCAGGAATACAACGGGCGGATAATCGGGAAACCCGCTATCATGATAATGCAGATGGCCGTGTGTTCAAGCTTCGTTGACTGCGAATACGTTTCGATACGGGGTTAACGGGACGTCGAAAGTCAAAATTACACGTGTGCACAGTCGGCAATGTGCTCGTAGTCCGTGACAACGTGTATTAAACGATTACACGCCGAAAGAGAAGATATTAATCAGTGCATGCGAATTCTGAGATAAATGTGTGAGAATCAATTAAGACACGATGGTCCGTGCTGCTATGAAAATGTAATTACTCTTACAATTACTCGAGCGACGTCAGAATTTCGTTGTCGATTTAAATCTCTAACTGAGAATTAATTAACTCGATCGAGTTTTGCAAGGTTTAATTATTTATAATTCAATAGCTTCTATATGTGTCGGAAGTCGGAACGCAATAACTATTCGATATATTTAACTTAGAATGTATCGTTTTTCATTAAGCAATAAGGATGATACTATTATAAAATTCTGTCATTTAAGTGGCTTGTCACCACGTATTATAAAATATTTATCGACATATTCCAGCAGTTTGTATCTTAATCGATCTTAATTCCTGAATAGTAAATTAGATGCTGATTTATATAATTTGACAAGGGAAAAAAATACATGCCGTTCTTTTTTTTCGTTCAAGGTAGGAAAGCAAGCGGGGCGACAAAAAACCGGAAATACTTTGCGTATCGCAAAATAATTTGCGTGGAGTTTTCAACCTTGAGCACGGAACAAGGCCGTTGACTGTGAGAACCGGTGAAATTCACTCAAGTCTCGAACTTATACACACTCATCCCTCTCGCGAATGTATAGGTTTTATAGGCAACGTATCTGGTTGTATCAGATATGCTAAATCTAATTTTATCCATTCGCCGTGCGAGCTTCTGATGTTCCTACGAGACGCTGCGACTTGCATGAATATAAATACGACGCAAAATTAAATATCAAACACGACAAATAAAATAGTAATTACTTATACAGGGTATGCCATTTTAAATGCCTCATGCAAATATCTCGAAAAATATGAAAGATGTGGAAAAACGTTTTAGACAAAAATTATAGGATATCAAAGGAGGAAAAAATCAAAAATTGATTTTATTTGTCTCTCTTGATATCCTACAACTTTTGTCTAAAACGGTTTTCCACATCTTCAATTAAAATGGGACACCCTGTATATTTTGTAATTTTTACTTACATAAGAATATCAATATTTTACAATCTAGATAACTATTATTATTCTCGCTCTACACGTATTGTCACAATTGTGTAAATCTAACGGAGATTTATTAATTGCTTAAAAAAAAAGAGCAGAAAAAAGATTCATCATAAGCTGCAGAAAATTTTCCTCTACTTTTTGCGTTATCGAATGTTTCAATGTTATAACAAAAAATACTGATAAATGTTCTTACATCGTCAAGTATTTAAAGCACGTTCGAATTAATCACGAGTGTTCTAAGACAACGATGATCAGATGGAATATTAATGAGTGGAAAAATATAGCATCCGCTAAATTTCCGGATAAATGTCTCATAAAACGGTAAATACTGGTGAGTAAGTGGGGAACGAGGTGGGGAATTAAGTATATAATGTTGGAGAATCCCCCTCTCCCTTCCAGCGCAGCGCGATGTCGGGGGATTCGCGCGAGACCGGTCGCGGAATCCCCCGACATGAACGATACCGGTTTGCCACTAACGACTGACACTACCGGATCGTAAAAAATCGTGACACATCGTATTTAGCATAGGCGTTCAATGACTATACGAACTTGCGAGAACAGGATCGGCAAGGACGTGGATCTTGCACGCGTTGTTCGCGGACGAATTATACTTTACCAGCGGCAAAACACGCGATGTCGTTTAAAGAGCCTTTGCAACCGTGATAAAGCAATCGTCGCCCCAGCAAGGCAGTCGAACAATACTTCAGTTGCTATTTCAATTTTCTTGAGTAGTCAACTACGTCGGGACTGTTTCACTCGTAAAAGAAAATGCGGAAACGCGGATGTTTATTTATAATAATGCATACTCGCTGCGCCTGGTGGCGTGTAATCGATTCCAATTGCATAATAAGTGCTATCGAACAGTTACGACTGCATCTTGAAAGATTGCAGTGTTGATTTTCTTGCCTTCAGCATCGCGAAACTTCGATCGGTAGAGACGTTACGTATAACACCAGGTTGAACGATCTGAAGAAGAAACGCATTATAATATACAAATAGTAGTTGGATCGTCACTGGCGGATCCATCCGAATAAAAAAAATCAACTTAACTTGATCTGGTTCAATAATCTAGGAAATAAAGTGCATTAAACGTTAAAGCAGGCCTATCAACGCGGACGCTCGTGGACCAAGTCCTGAGAGGCCTGTTCTCTTACACTGGGGGCTCGTTTTCTCCGACCCTGTACACGCCTCCCATCCCTGCCGTTTAGTATTCTAGTACATATTCTAGTACATGCGCGTCAAACAAAAATATGTAAAAAAAATTTTTTTAAATCACGTAAAAAACTAAAAACTAAAAATATGTAAAAAAATTTTAAAAACTGAAAATGGGATCAGAAGTATCACCACGTCCCTGTCGTTGATCCTGGAGTAAAAGCTAAGTGTGATACCAAGATAAATATCAAACTAGATAATTTTGCTGAAACATCACCCCTCCCTCTCGAACATTATCGACGTCAGAATTCGCTAGTGATCTTATTATTGGATCTTATTATGTATATTTAGCAACAAATATTTCATAAATAACTCATTTTAATGACGTTTAATCTTGTTATGCATATGAAAAACACTCTAATAAATGCGAACATTAATAACATTTGTAATGTGGAAGATAAGATTTGATTTATCTCTTTTAATTTAAAAGTATTTAACAGATTTTGCCTTATTATTCAAATTTGATTAAAAATAATCTTTTTTATGTTCTATAAAGCAAAGCAGTGCGGCTTTACAATATCATATAAATATGTAATAATATGTTTATAAACTTGGTTCTGTCCTCCGGGGCGAAGCCCGGCGGGGCATGCTAGTATGTTTATAAACTTGGTTCTGTACATATGACGTTGAACGGCGGTATGTTGTATTATTTAAGAACTTAGAGGGCAATACAACTCATATAAGCAATATTATGGGCAACCAAGTGAATAAAATTGAAGATAAATCAAATTTTAAATTAAATTCTCGGCCGCTCTCCTCACTTCAATTTCCCTTTGTAATACCTTCAATCCGTCGGGAAGTAGTTATGCTCAATCGGCTCATACTTTCTCCGGAGTATGCGAGCGTTTTCAAGATTACCGCGCGCAACATCGTTTCGTCTGATGTTGCGGTCGTAATTGCTTCATATACGTCTTCTAGTCTCTAATTTATAACGCTCATAAAGGCGCTTTCCTTGTTATATTTTTTTTTTCATTCATAAAAGAGTGCATTATACTCTCGAATCATAAACAAATCCGAATGCAGCGCGCTCGGCCCTGTCGCCATGCGACGCATACGGGCGATCCCGGTGAATTCATCCGTTCCGAGAAGGCGAGCGCGCGGCCACAAAGGGCAGGGCAGGCGGTATATCCTGAAACGCGAACGTCTGTTGACCGTTGAACGAATAACCTTGGGATATCGCCTCCTCTCCCCTGGATCGAAGATTCGAGAAGCTACGGCTTCTAACAGGTACCACGAGCTCCTAGAGGTGGGATTGCGATCTCGTGACTCGATTGGATGGTGTTCCACGTGCTTGCCGGTCACCACCAACGCCGCCGCCGCGACGGCTACTAAGCGACAAGAGCGCGACCACACATGTGTAGTGGGAGCACGATATTTTTCAAATCTGTACCGATCCGCGCCGCCACTCTTGCACCGAGACGTATGCCGCACGTACATATCGCACCGGCATCGGGGATCAGACATACGACAGGCGGTGGAAGAGGTTTACAGAAGTCAAACGATTCCGTGCGATCAGCGAGGTACCACGAGAGCTCCTCGTGCAACACTCTCTGAAACATCCGTCGGAATTAAGGGGAAAACAATATTACTTGCCGAGCAATATTAACTTCGAAGCGCGCGTTGTTGACTTTGGAAATCGTATAACCGAATTCCACGCGGATATTTCTTTTGGTCCCGGAAACGTCGGTCGAAGGCTGCGATCGTACGCAAGGACGCGAGGAAGTCTACGTCAAAGTCGGAATCCGCACGAGGAAAAAGTGAAGGGCCTTTAAAGTAAAGGCCGAAAATCGGGAGTGTTGAAATATCCGCGCGTATAATCGGCGGGCGGATTTTCTCGTCGTGAAATTACACGGCATTGTAAATCGCGACGTGCACAAGCCGTAATCAAGCCGTGTGCCACCGAAGTGGAGACCCGCCTTTATCGTCAGCCGCGCGAGCCTGCCGTTACTACTGGAATCGCCGACGATACCTAGATCTCGTCGCGGAATAGATAAAGCCTCCCCTTTAATATCGCGCCGAGGCTGAACTTGCCGAAGATGAAGGATCTCATGGTGATCTGGAACACCTTGTCGCGCCGTCAAATATACTCGTCAGTGAACAACAACCCCAATGGCGATAAACAGGTCGAGCAGGACGAGACGCGAACGCTGGCGCACCTTCAAAGAAAGTCCTCGGTGGTGGTGAATAAATTCTTCAATGCCGCTCTACCGGTGGGTGCCGATGGCAGACAAAGATGGTCGAAACGTAAGTAGAAGGAAGTCTCGTTTCGGTGTCGAGCAGTGTCGAGTAACAGAGAGCCATTATTTTATTCCTCCGATCGCGAAGACAATAAACCCGGCAACATCGAGTATAGGCTCGAGGCTGCGCTATGTAAATTGCGAAGATAACAGAATGGTCTTTAAGTATAATATACGGAGGCAGAATATCGAGAACAAGAGTCAGACTTGGAATTTTAATGTAGCTATTTAATGCAGTTGCTGTTTCCATAAATACGAAATTCACTTTAGTTGCGTACCCGGATGTTGATCCGTGAAGAAAGACATCTTATAATTATTGCAAACTCCTTGTTTCTTACTGCGATTTTATGTAAATGTTATAGATTTTAAATCGAGCGTTGCATTCGCGATGATAGTTAAACGACAGCATTAAAGAAAATATATATTCCGAAGAAATTAATAGAGCAGATTTATAATCAATCATTATTTTACATATTTTTTTATCCAGATTCTCAAGTTATATTTTACATTCCAAAATTGCACATATAATATTATAAGCTATTAATATTTTAGGCATTTTTTTTATTTTAAGTCAGTTGTAAGTGGAAATATCTTTGATCAAAAGATAGTGACATTAGAATTATTCTCATCTTTTAAGAAGAGAGAGCTGTATAAATGTGTCCCGAATAAATTTGCGAAGAAATTGGCCATTTGTTAACTTTTACCGTTCAAGACGGACTCTAAATCGAAACGGCTTTAAAAAAAATTAGCTCGTGATTGAATCCCAAATTGAGGGGAATAAAATAAATAGAAAAAGGACCTTTAGAAAGAGCAAGAGATTAATGCCATCTAAAAGCAGTAATAAATGCATAATAACTTATCGTAACTAAGTATTACTGAAAGCATAAAAAATGATATGGATAGGCGGAAAGCACGCAACGCGTTTCGATCTATTTCCTCTTCTATGATTTAGATGCAGTTATGAGCGCAGAAATCAGCGCGGTACACGCAATCTTTCCGAGCTAATTGAGCTATTGGAGTTCAAAGATATTTATTGAACTATTAATTATATTTATGTAGTTAATGAACTAGTGATTTCAAACAAATGTAAGAGATTTTAAATCAAATATTGCATTTGCAATAATAATTAAATGATTAGCATTAAAGAAAGAAGATACATTCCGAGTTAATTAATTGATTAGATTTAATCATTATTTTACATATTTTACGATCCAGATTCTCCAATTACATTCTACATTTTAAAATTGAACGTACAAAAAATTCGATTATCTGTTCAATCGTCTTCCGCTCTTTCTTTGAAATGGAGCTATTATATAGCCACAAATTATATACTGTGGATTGTACCAGCGCGCAGCGGTACAAGTGCACTTTGCGATTCGAACAATTACCCTGGCACGTATAGTCGCGTGAAAATTTTTGCCCGTTTAAAAAACACAATATACGTATATTTGTATATAAAAAACGAAAGATTGTTGCATTAAAATGCGTATATTATTTATCTCGGAGATAAATCGAAAGATCCTGGAGAAAGAAAACATGCGTCTCTACGATATATACATATATATACATATTCTCGCGTGTATCGAGAATAAATCTATTTTTCAATGTAAAAAACGCGGGTTTTTCCAATGTTCTCAGAAACTTGAGTCTAAAATCGAGCAATTTGAGATGTGCGTGATAAAGTCGAGCAAACCGGTTCTAATAGTGTACGATATAATACGCGAATACGAAGAAAAGACGAGGGACCGCTGGACCGAAAATTGCAATTACGGCCGTTGTCGATCAAATCGCTCCATTTTAGCCTTGCGCAAGATAATTAACTTTCCTCCACATTGCAACATTGAAAATTTTACGGCAAAAATTTTCGCACGGATATACGTGCCAGCGTAATTGTTTAAATCACAAAGTGCACTTGTAGGTACCGCTGCGCGCTGGTTCAATCCACAGTATATAATTTGTGGCTATAATAGCTCCATTTCAAAGAAAGAGCGGAAAACGGATCAAATAGGTAGTCGAATTCTTTCACGGTTTAAACATACCGAAAAGAAATTTTTTTCTGCGTCTAATCTAACGCCAAACGCCAAAAGGCATATACATTTTATCTTTTGTATCGGGATACGCAATAAAAATACTTGAAAGGGAGCGTATCCATGTATTTAAACGTTTGTTTGAATATTGGAACATTAAAGAAAAAATTGTAATTGTATTTAAAATGATCTAAAAATAGGTAGTTAAGTAGTTAAAGAGTATTCTAAAAATAGCATTCTATAAGAAATTAATTCCGAATCCATATCTAAAAAAGAGATGCTTAATAAAAAACTGGTATGAGATCACAAGAATCGATAAGAAAAAAAGAAGCATGTAAAAAGCAACTATGAATTAACAAGCCATGAACGCAGTCGCGCAGTCGATATTGTTCACCTTGATTACTGATAATTATAATGATTGACCAACGTTTCACGCTTAAATTCGTATTGTATTACACATCTTTGAAAAACGGGTTTATACTCCGACTTGCTGGCACTTGATTACCTCGTGCGGCAGGAGACGATAACAATAATATACAGAATCCGCAGGCAAGATTGACAAAATATATGTAGAGAGATCATGTTTATTTCATTAATTACCGCGACTCTGTGTCGCGATTCTTGAAAATCATTAGAAGTAATTTTATTTTGACGTCAATGCAATTAATCTTTGTGTATGTTTCTTTTTATTATTAACTTTTACGAGGTATGATTGAAGTCTATTTATCTTCCTGTCACTTTGCAACTCCGCTAATAGTTTTATCTTTTTTTTTCTTCTTCAGCAACATGTTAATTATTGAAATTTGCTGTGCAGTAAATCAAAATTAACGCAATACGTAAAACACTACAAATAATTATTTATATTAAGTTGTCGTATACTTTCAAAATTAACATTCTTGCGTAATAGATATTTGATGTATAAAAATTTTAAAAATTAAATCATATATTAATTATAAAATATATTGAGTTTATTTAATAGCATTAATTTGCAATTACGCTATTTAAAAAATAATATATCATCTCTTAAACAATATTATATAATATTTAGTTACTGCTCTACTTGTAAGTGCAAAATTTTACGAATCATGAATTAATCTGTACGAGAAGTCGATCTTCGCGACGACAAAAATATTTTATCCTTCATATCTTGATATTGAAAACTTATACAATTAGCGACGCTGATAATTCCGACGAGCGTATTGATAGCGCGGCAATACGTGCCGCTGCTTGATTCGCGAGAAAACAATCTTTGTTATATACAGTTCGGCTCAGAACTCACCGATACGCATACAATTCGGCATATCTTCAATTATTAATTCACGCAATGTCGCTTTTTTTCACGGAAGAGATTGCAATCGACAGATATACCTAATTACCGAAACAAAAGAATGCGGTCCGTTGTTTATAAGCCCTCATCTGATGAGCCATTTGGCAGCGAATCACGTTTCATGCTTGGTTACCCGAGACACACGTCTCATCGAGAGTCGCGACCAAATCTTATAAACAATTCTGTAGTTGAGAAACTATAAATTCAGAGACTTATTTTTTCTAAAGGCCGCCGGCTGGCTAAAATGTAAAATTATAACAGTTTCAAGATGAATTGTGTAAATAAATTTAGTCGGATTTTATTTTTTAAACAAATAAATAAATTCAGTCAAATTTCAGTTTTTTATTGCAATCATATACATATATAATTGTCTAAAAATTGATAGTGTTGGAATTATTTCCAATTGCTTCTCAGTTCACAGAATCTTCGAAGCATCGTAATTATAACAATGACTTCGTGTTTTTCTCCGATAATATTATATAATACTTCGCACGTCTCAAAATATCAAACAATATATACACAAATAAGTCTACCAGAATTATTATATTTATGCCCATCTCGAAATATCAGACGATAATCGATATAAATATCCGACATTTCGAGACGTGCGTAAATATAATAATTATGGTAGATTTATTTGTGCATATTTCACATTTCACGTATATTTTTCTATTTAATGCAAATATGTATCGATATGAAAATTAATTCCGTATACTGCGACTGGAATTATTTAGAGTTCTGGTTCCCGACCAGTTTTAGTACTGGACCAGAAAGTTATCTCGATTAAACCAATAAGTTTCTTGTCAATACTTATACATATAGTAAAATTTTATCTATACGTGTGTAAATTTTGCATTAAAATTCCTCCGCGCCCAAATTCCGATTATTAATGAATTCTTCGATGCAGCAATAAAATTATGAACGAATTTATAATATATGTTTTTTAGGCCGCTTGGCGAAAATGACGAAATCTTTAGAATACATTGTCTCTAAAATAGCGCTGTTGGGTTATCTCATTGATTTATTATTGTATCGGCCAGCAGTAATTGCCTCGTGTCGTTATTAACGTGATTAAGAATGAACTAACCGACAAGATAGAGATATCGCACGAAAAATTAAAATGTGTTTTTAATTAATTAATAAACAGGTTGGTCAATTTTAGCTTCGACCGTACTTAATCTCGCGCACACGACATACCGCACGAAAGGGAAATCAGCTGAATATTACCGCACACACGTGAACGATTTACTTACGTACTCGTGCGTGAAAGTGGAAGTCGGTCAAAAGCGTGCCGGGCACACGTGACACACTCTTTTACTCTCGTTCGACTAAGAAGTCGTCGGCCGACTTAAAATCCGTTGGACTACATGATAACTGTGTCAAGCGAAAGAGCGGTAAACGCAATGCCTTGAGTCAACGACCGATGGGCTGTGAAAAAAGATAAAGAAAGTGCGTTAAGGTAGGTAATGGTATTATAGACATTGGATTCTCGATAGTTGGCGACTTTACGAACCGTGTACCATCTCGTCGCGGTACCACAAAGCCCGTCAAAATATCATAAAACACTTCCGCGCGAGTACGTACGGATTCACTTTACATTAATGACGCGCGTTTATTGTCCGAGTGAGATGTGAATGTTCGGCAAAGGCCCCT